TTTTTTTTTTAGTGAGACTAGTAGTAAATTTCTTCATTTTCTCATGCATAACTTCCAGAAAGGATGCTTAAGAAGGCAGGGAACAGAACCTGAATAGCGTTCCAGAGTTAGAGAAAAAATACCTTGAAGTGTGGTGATGTGGGGATTGGTTTTTGTTGCCTTTGGTTTGGTTTGGGTTTTTTTGGAGAGGATTAGCTTGAACTGACTTATAAAAATAAATTTTAAAATGTAGGTGGCTTGCTGATAGGTCAGAAACTGTCTTGGGAGGGGATAGGAAAGCTTTCTTCTAAGGTTTCTTAAATAAAAGATAAGGTACACTTAGTAATTAAGGCACCTGTTTGGGTTGTTCTACTGTAAAAAGGTGCTTATTTGCTATCTCTCAATGTCATCAGAGAGAGAGAGAAGGCACAGTTTTAGAAGAAATGCTTTAGTTCTAATTAAGGCATTTGGCTGCCTTTTTTCACCAATTGATGAAATCAGTCATCTTTCACAAGCACAATCATCAGGCATTGCTATCTTGCAAAAATTTCATGAGACTACTAATCTAAACATTTTCTTTTTTACTGCGCTTACATTTTTGGGTTGTAGCAGCAAATCATAAATTTATGCTAAGGTTATTTAGCAGGATATGGAGAGACCTGATTAATTTTTTTCACGTTTCTAGACTTAGTTATGGTTGTTCATAGCATACATGACAACTTAAGCTAGCTGCAGTCACAGCTATAGAAAGATATTCTTTGCTTACAAGGAATATGCCTATATGTTATTTGAGCTGCTTAGATGTTACTAAGTGTCATCCTTTTTTGCCATGTAGAAGTCTAGTGGAAACCACTTTAGCAAGATGCAAACAAATTGCGTTGTCCTGTCATTGTGAGTAGCCTTTTTTATAAGATTGTACCTGGTATAGTTATCTTCAATAGATTATTGTGCAAATCAGTAATGTGAGGCAAGCAGTAGGTATAGAGAGAACTACAGATTGTTGTGGAAAATCTGGATTTAGAGAAAATCCTATTATTCAGAGATGCATTCTCTAAGCTTATGAACCTGGATGTCTTCAATTTGATGTACAAAAAGAAAAGCCTTTCCTGGTTAAATATGCGCTATGGTCTCTTGTTTTCAGTACAACCTTTGTCAGGGTTTCATGCCCCATTGTCTTGGCCATCTGTAGTAATTGATTTTCACTTGAACCATTCAGAGCCTGGTTTCTGCAGCCACCTGTCATCTTGGATTTTGCAGAAGTGGCCTACCTCTTAGATTACCCATCACAGTGTATTAATTACAGTACCTAAGATTACTTAAACACGTAAAGCCTTTCTTCCAAGGATTTGATTCAGAATCTTTAGATTCTTCATCTCCTGTAAACAGCAAAACATAATCCAAGCAGTTCCTTTTTTTCCTCTGAATGATAACAGATATCATAGATGTCCTTTCAAGAGAAAAAAAAATCCTTCCCTGACATCTCACCAGTTTGTGAACGTACCGTCTTGATACAATAGCACATCAATAGATTGTCTGTATGGTTTAATTTTGAAATATCAGATGCCTTTAACTGATGAGTTTCATCAGTTATTTGATGTTTCAAGGGAATAATTGGTGATACTTGTTTTATCGTCCTGGACTTTGGTTCTTCTCCTTTGCTGCGTATATGTAAATCAAAATCTGATAGTAATAGATTTGTTTTTTCCCTCATGGTTTTACTTTTGGAGTTCCATTATGAGCTGTAACCTGATACTAAGTTGACATATTTTTCTTAATCATACACTAAGATTATTTACAGTGACTACTATGCAGCACAATTTTGTGCTTATAAAACAGTCGTTCTTACGAGGTGCAGCTAATGGATAAAGATACTGCCCTCTTACAGCTTGGAGCATTAGACCTGATCTGTGACCTATAATTTCCTGGGTTTGAGTCCATTGTGGTTTTTTTTCCTAAAAATCACATGGGTTTTAAACACCTAGTTTTAAACTTTAAAGTGAGAGAGAATGTGTATTTGAGCTCATATGTAGGCTGATGCCTGTTACACCCATCCCGGACATACTTGTCTCTACCTCCAGATGAGGATGTGGGGGAGGTGGGGCAGGGAGAATCCTGAGGGATGAGCCGGCAGATGAGATTATCAGAACTGCTAGCCACAGCCCTCTGTTTGAAAGAACTGTGAAAAATCTAATCTTAACAAGGTATGTCATGTTTCCTGTATGGGGAATTCGTCTGGGATGCGCTTCAGTAGCTCACTTTGGGAAGTATTTAGATGTATGTTCAACAGATTAATATTGAATTGGGCTCATAATACAAAACACATTTTATAGTTCATAGGCACATTTCATATTCCTCTGATCATGCTCCATCTGATAAGTATGTAACTCAGCAAAAACGAAGGAGGAGGTATATTTTTTTTTACAACTTCAGTGAGTTAAACCAGCTTGTGGAAAGCTCTAGTGTTGTCCCAACTGACAAAAGGGAGGAGGGCAAATTGCACCTCTAGAAGCAAGACCAAACAGAAGAGTCAGTAATTAAATTAGCTCGTACACCAGTAAATGTATGTCTTTGAAGAAAAAAGTTTAGTTCACGTTCTTTCTTGCTTTGCAAGACTGCCAAATCAAGAGTCTTTAGAAAATGAAGCCATAAGAAATGCTTATCTCGGATGAGAACAGACCTATAAGCAAAACCAAAAATTAATAATAGAGCTGTTTCTGCCTAAACTCAACAAGTGAGGCATATAAAAATTAACCATGTTGATACATTAAGAAGTTCTGAAAGAGGTTAACTGAATGAGTTTATTAGAAATGAGAATAGGAAACAGAAATAGTTCATAGGTGGTGCTTTACAAATATCAGTTGCATACATAGCGACTTTACTGTAATTTCTACACCAACATGGTTCTTTGTTATTTAACTACATAAATCATAACATTTCCTTATTGCTTGCTATTAAAAAGAATTGAAAGGCTTCAAGAAAGGTAGCATGTTTGCCTTCAAATTATCTTCAGGTGCTAATGCTGAACAAGGCCATGCAGCCTTATCTCTTGGTATCAGATATGTTTCCAGTTGCAACAGAAGAAAGATTAACCTTGGCACACCCTGTGGCAAAACTAGTGTTGAATGGAATGAGATAGTGATGGTGATTCTCTGAATTTAGTATGTTTCACAATGTGATATGCATCTTTGCATTTAAGACTCTTCTTTGCATTTGAGAATCATTTAGCAAATGAATGAGTGTTAGTGGTCATACCTACTGTTCACAATAGGATTTCTTTTCCGGCGTATTTAAATCTTGCTTTAGAAATGAATATGTAAAAAGAGAGAAGCAGAGTCTTGCTCGCTTTTTCATCCTTGTTTAACTTATTTAATGCTTGTATTAAGTTTTACCGCTAGATATTTCCTGATTTCAGCACCTTCCTATTTTATCTATATACCAGTTTTTCTTTTATAAGCTGTTCTATCATTTAAACTTTCCCCTAAGCCAGAAGATCATCAGCCTTTCTTAATAAGGTTTTTGGCAACAGTATTCATGCTTGACTTTTAATGCCTTTCTAAAGTTAAGCGTAATTGTACTGAGGTAGAATCTGTTAAGGAAGGAAGGAAGCAAGCAAGCACTGAATGTTTTAGAAAAATCAAAATCTTCCTGGCAGCACATCCTTAACTGTCAGCACTAAAAAGTATCTTAATTGTAGTCATTATTCGAAGATATAACTGAGATAAACTTTATTTGTCCATGAGATTTCTGACTAGTTAGGTGGGTTGTGCTATTAATGTAGTTTTGATTAGTACTGGCAGTCTGCTGATGCTCAAAGTTTTTAGGTCACATAGTCTGAGAAAAATGTGTTCCGAGCATCTAGCTCAAGATGTAAAAAGCATAGAGTGTAGGGGAGACAATTATTTCTAAATCCAGATTTAGTGCTAAATATTATTGTATTTCTGTGCATATTGCTGCCTTTAGCAGAATAACTGCTTGCTCAGTATATGTAAATGATGTCAGCTTTTTAGATATCCATGTTAGAGCGCACAGCTTTGAGCCAAGAGCTTGGTGGTGTGGATTCTGAGTGTGTCCGTTCTGGAAAAGTATTTGAGCAGAAGTCTTCAGGCTAGTTTTGACCTCAATTAAGATAATTAACTGGAAATAAATTTCTGACATTTCAACTAGTGTATTAATGCAATTCTTGGGGAGAATGTTAAATGGGATTAGGGAGGTGTAGGTATTTGGTCCTACTCTTGAGTCCTGCGGGAATCCTGTACCTGATTCTGGTATCCACAATTCAAGGTCACTTCAAAAATTGGAGAACTCAGAGGGTAGTCACAAGATGAAATGTGATTTGGTGGAAGGTTACAAAGAGCAAAACTGTTTTTTGGCAAGGAGTTTAAGGAGTGACTTCTCAGTCCAGAAGTACATACATGGAAACGAGAAATCTAATAGTGAAGCCTGTTCAGTCTAGCAAAGGTATTGTGAGATCCAGCTGGTAAATTGTGAAACTATAGTTGTCCAGGCTAGAAAGTACACATTTTTAACAGCGACAGTAATTAGTTATTGGAGTGGCTTGCACAAAATGGTTAGGTTTCACCACTGCTTTCTAAAGATTAAATTTCACTGTAAATAAATTGAGTCCTATGTATGTTTTAAACGAAGATCAGGCTAAGTATTCAATGTGATTCTTTTGAGCCTCGGTCTCTATAGAGATTGAAGTGGAAATGTTTGAGACTGGAATACATCATTTAAATGTTTTGGGCAATATTTTTCAAATTCTTTGAAAATACATGTGCATTTTGAGTCTTCTGTCTCCACGAATGCTGGATTGTAGATATGCTTTAGGGTTAATTCTTAATGAGGAAGGAATATGATTGTGAGCTACACTGACTTTTCATTGGTATGCTGAACCAGGTGATTGAAAATTTAAGAGCAAGTTATTAGGCTTCCTCCAAAATTCCATGGTACTTGTAACTTGGACTAAACATTGGTGTGGGAGAGTGGTGGTAAATAAATGCAGCCTTCACTGTACCTCAGCAATGTTGTCTTTTAAAAGGTATCCTTGTAAAAAGGAGCAGGTATGGAAAAAGTCTAGGACTTACGGACAAGGAAGGAAAAACTTGATAGAGAGAATAATGTAATGCAAACCCAGAACTGGGTAAAGATACAAACACCTATGTGGTTAATCAGCACTTTTGTGTTGGATACGCAGATGACTGGAGCATTTGCTTTGAGTATCCTTACAAAGAGTGGCAAAATTTGTATGGAACACCTATGGGGTTGAAATGCGAGGTTATGTGACTATACTGAATAGAGAGGAAAACTGAGTTTCAGCTGCTGTTCTGGTAAACGTTAACACCTGTTTGTATAAAATATATCTACAAGAGAGAAAACTGAGACCTTATTAGAATATAGATTTGTCTGGCATTTGTGGTATTCACCAGAAACTTGGGAAATGGCTTCAAAATACCCACACTGGTTGTGTCAGTGAAGATTCAAACTTGCTCAAAGCTTGTAGAAACCTAACTAGTTAGCAGAGGAAGTAGCATAGCTGGGACAGCACAGTCTGTTAATATTCAAGCTAGCAAGCTTAAAGCTAGTTCAGTTATGTCTGTGCAAACTGTAGCCACACCTTTGAACTGTCTAGATCACATTTGAAATGCAATTTATTATTCTTATCTTACAATAAACCAAAAATGTTTCTTTTAGAAAA